TTTCAAATCTTAATTCAAATCTCGCACTAACCCTAGGTTATCTTAACCCAGCTTTGAACAACTCGGCCCTGAAGTACAATTTAAGAACTGAGAATAATATCCAGATTCAACACTGTTAGATATGGTAAACATTCGGAGACATTTTGGACCATACCTACGGTCTAGACTTCCGAAAGAAATAAGAAATATCTCATCGTTCAGATCTAGAATTAGAAAAACAAACATAGGGGAACTGGTTAGTAATTCTAACTGTCAGAACTGCTATTTACGCCACTCTTAATTTATTTTTAGTGCTTGTATTCTTATATATAAAGATATATTCTTATCACACATTTTATACATCCAATTTACACCACTACACTTATAATCTTACAGTGGAGAGTGTTACAAAAACTGCTTGGTAGGCCTGTGTATTGTGAAATAAATGATCAATGATTGTCACCAAACCAAGCTATCCGATTTCCCAGGGTCATCTAAGTCCCCTGTTCAGTATTTAATAACTATATGATATATATCTCAAATTGTTTTAAGGCGAATCGTGAGGAGGAATCCTAGTAACTGGCGCGTATATATACGTAGGAAGTGCTAACAGTGGAAATATGCAGTCAGTATGTCGAAAAAAAAATCGATTTGTTAAAAAAACACACACATAATAATATATAATAAACAATAAACAATTGTTTTTTGTTTGTTTGTTTCGCAGATGACTTTGAAATAGGAGTTAAGAGCAATCAGCTTTTCGTCAGCTATAGCTCCAAAGACATGGCCTGGATCAATGAAAATCTGATCCCCATTCTCGAAAAGCACTCCGTATCCTACAGCATTCACACCCGAGACTTTGAGTTGGGACTGCCTATCGTCCAAAACATGACAGACAGCGTCTACGGCAGCCGCAAAGTTCTGATTGTCTTGTCCGACAACTACCTCGTCAGCAACTTCTGTCGAGAAGAACTGCACATGGCCGTCCAAAGGGAGGCAGACAGCCGAGATTCTTCGCTTATTCTCGTGGCGATCGACAAGTTAAAGAAAAAGAAGTTGCCTGGTCCTTTGAGAAACAAGCATTTGCTTGACTTTGAGAAGCTTAAGATAAAACAGGATTGGGAGAAAAAGTTGTTAAATGTGGTAGCAGACCCAGGGGCCAAAGTCGCTTAATCAGCCTCATCACAAAAGTTCGTAATGTAAGCTAGTTTCTAAGATAACTAATTGCCAGTTCAATCATATCGAATCATAGTTTGACCTAAGCGATAGATCAAGTGCAGAAGTAGTTGGCCGACTGTTTAGAATCGAAGCCACTTATGAGTCAGTTAGTTCCAAATGTATTCAAAAGCGTTCATTTAAGTTCATGCAGATGCATGCACTTTCGAACTAAGATGTGTGCACAGACTCAAAAAGTAGTAATAAACAAAAAAAGGAAACTGAGCACCACTAACAACAGACAACTGCAAAAAATAAGTCAAAAGCTCTCACCTTTTTACTTTGCAGGCCGTCACAAGTTAGAATCACCTTGTACCGCATCGATACAGCATTTGAATAGCACCATAGGAAAGTACTACTCCGTAGCGTTCATTAGAATGTAAACGCTTTACGATTTTACCCACTGGAGACTTAAGAGTCATAGATAATCTTGAAAATTAAGAATTGAATAGGTGCTGCTCAGTAGTCTTTCATTTGTATGGCCTCAGTGTATAGCAGCTTAGTCCACAGGCTTCGAGTATCGTTTCACAGTATGATGAATAGCGCCATGAGAAATGGTGCGAACAGCTCTCACCAGAATTGCCAGCTTTCTTTCAAAGTGTCATTCACGACAGACGAGTGGGTTTGAATGTCGCTCTGACCGTTAGCTGGTTTGTCGTTTCTTGGTAGAATCAACGTTGACTGTAAATGATGATTTCATGTATATCTCTAGGCTCGATTTCCAGCCGCTTGAGGAAGTCCCAATCGTATTCTTCTCATAACAAGCTGAAGCTAACTTGGTGGGAGCGAAGGAAAACGGGCGTCGGCTTTCATGGTTATCGAGACTGGTTTATTTCCTGCCAGTTGTGATTTTAAAAGGTTGAGTTTGATCGTCCAGGTGAACGTAGTCCTGAATAGGACTGTTCTTGTTGACAGTGACTGACGTTTCGACAACCTGTGCGGTAGTCATCTTCAGAGTCAAAGTGAGTTGTATCACGTCAGTTGATGGTATTATACTCTGGTTATTGATCTGATTGGTCAATTATGTCGCGATGTTATTGTTCGTCTGTCACTTAAGCCGTGATGTTATGAAGGCTCGTAATCAGTGACTGGTGCGTTTCGATCCGTCTATTGTCACAGTTAAACAGTCGTCTATTGTTAGTCAAATCGTCAGTTCTCCAGTTGTTCTCTCGTAGTTAGTTCTGCTTGATCTCCTCAATAAGTCGTTTGTACGGCGCTGGTAACTGTTGGCTACGATTCAGTGGCGTTTGTTCTAAGTTAGTAAACCAGCTCTCTAAAGTAAGACGTTGATAGTAGTCTGTAGAATACGTTATACATGTCGCAGAGTCCTAGAGTTCACCAGAAGCAACAACATAATTTGGAAGAAACCGTAGTTAAACAGCTTTCAGCTTAATGATCAACACGTTTCAGCGCGAGACACGCGCAACGGGGAATGCCGCGCGCGCTCCACGTCCGCTTCGTGCTCACCTAAAAAATTCGAAAAAATAGCGCATGATTGTTGAAGGTTAGTTGCAAACTTTAGCCCACGAAAATCCTTCGTCCGATAAAGCTGCGTCTGGGTTGCCGAGGACAGCAAAGCCATAAAGTGATGATTTAGTCATAATGTTTTTTTGGAATACCGGAGTTTGCTTTCAGTTCTACACGAGAGAATAATCATGTAAAAGCAGTAGAAAATGACGAAACTTTTGTAATGAAAGAGGCAAGGATTAGAATTTAAAGTAACGATTATAATAAGTAAAAATGTCATTTGTTTTTCCCCGTTGTAAGAAATTAATCACATAATTGTTTATTTCAATTACTGTAGAAATAGCATGCTGAATGTATGTATTTAGTTATTCAATATTTAATTAATTATTGTAGTTATTATTATTATTATTATTATTATTTAATTTTATCATTATTTAATAACTATTTAATCAATTGCTGTAGTAATAGTGTGTTGGATGTATCTATTTAGCTATTTAATTAAAATCAGCGTATAAGAATTAGGCTAAACACCAGCCGATTGTTAGGCTGTTTGTAGATTATTGAAATTTTTAATTTGTAAAATGGATATAACAATGAAAAGTTGCAATAAAATACACGAAGGGAACGGTCGTTGTTTTTCCTTAACCTCTCATCTGCAATGTAAAAATTTGCGGCAGAAAACCGAGAGACATTTTGTCACTTTACTCGTATTTAATTTTGTCTTCAACAACAAAATTGAAGTGTCTCTTGGACAGCTCAGGATGCAGAAGCCCCCCAACAGAGACACCAGGGCAAGGTTACATAAGAGGGCTCTTAACTTTTGTTCTGGAACAATAACCTATTGTACGAGAACGCAACCCCTAATTTCTGGTGGGTGTTCTGTGCATTATTGGGTGCTCTGTGCAATTAATAAGCGAAGTTTTTTGAGATTGCATTTGTGTTGTGACACATTTGCCTCGCTATGAGGCGCCTGCTTACATTTTGCCTCACTTAGACGCGCTAACTCACTTGGTGATTCGTGTGCCCTCGGCGCTCATCTTTCAAACGTTTGCTCAATCTTTGTAAAGCGTACACATTGCAATAGTTTGCTGAAGGTCTCCTATTGTTCTATGTTTGCTGAATCTTCCAAAGCGTTCATCTTTCAAAAGTTTGCCGTTAATTTTACTTTGGATTAAGCCTTCAACTCACATTTTTCAGCATGGTTCGTCACTGTCTTTGCAAAATGTGTGCGACTCCTGCTGTATGCATCAAACCGGGTTGTTTGGCTCGGCGGCCGTTGTTCCACAAAGCAAATTTACCGAGTTGTGTAGCTCGGCGTTCGTTGTACTTCAAAGTAAATCTACCGAGTTGTGTAGCTCGGCGGAAATTGTGCCTGAAAGTAAATCTACCGACTTTTGTAGTTCAGCGGCCGTTGTGCCACAAAGTAAATCTACCGAGATGTGAAGCTCGACGGCGCCATTTCATGATGACTTGTGATATTTTCCGCACCGGACAAACGACATTTTAGCTTTATGTTATTTATTCGGAAAAACTCATAAACCAGCCCACAGTAACGCCATTCAAGTCACTGAAATCAACACACTCGACCAAATATGCTGGAAGAGGTATTGACGTGAGCCGCACACACATTCCACCAAAGGCTTTGATGATTCCCTTGAAACGTGTGAAATTGAGAGGCGTAGTGCGACTGAAGCAGTGTTCAAACACAATTCAGTGTTCCACAGCGCTCACCACAAAAAATGTGGTTTTGAGTATTTAATATCAACACAAGTTAAAAAGACTTGCCAGTAACGGTTTCACTTTATAGTATTTTTCGTTAATTGTCTACATGTGGAATTAAGAAATATCTCATCGTTCAGATCTAGAATTAGAAAAACAAACATAGGGGAACTGGTTAGTAATTCTAACTGTCAGAACTGCTATTTACGCCACTCTTAATTTATTTTTAGTGCTTGTATTCTTATATATAAAGATATATTCTTATCACACATTTTATACATCCAATTTACACCACTACACTTATAATCTTACAGTGGAGAGTGTTACAAAAACTGCTTGGTAGGCCTGTGTATTGTGAAATAAATGATCAATGATTGTCACCAAACCAAGCTATCCGATTTCCCAGGGTCATCTAAGTCCCCTGTTCAGTATTTAATAACTATATGATATATATCTCAAATTGTTTTAAGGCGAATCGTGAGGAGGAATCCTAGTAACTGGCGCGTATATATACGTAGGAAGTGCTAACAGTGGAAATATGCAGTCAGTATGTCGAAAAAAAAATCGATTTGTTAAAAAAACACACACATAATAATATATAATAAACAATAAACAATTGTTTTTTGTTTGTTTGTTTCGCAGATGACTTTGAAATAGGAGTTAAGAGCAATCAGCTTTTCGTCAGCTATAGCTCCAAAGACATGGCCTGGATCAATGAAAATCTGATCCCCATTCTCGAAAAGCACTCCGTATCCTACAGCATTCACACCCGAGACTTTGAGTTGGGACTGCCTATCGTCCAAAACATGACAGACAGCGTCTACGGCAGCCGCAAAGTTCTGATTGTCTTGTCCGACAACTACCTCGTCAGCAACTTCTGTCGAGAAGAACTGCACATGGCCGTCCAAAGGGAGGCAGACAGCCGAGATTCTTCGCTTATTCTCGTGGCGATCGACAAGTTAAAGAAAAAGAAGTTGCCTGGTCCTTTGAGAAACAAGCATTTGCTTGACTTTGAGAAGCTTAAGATAAAACAGGATTGGGAGAAAAAGTTGTTAAATGTGGTAGCAGACCCAGGGGCCAAAGTCGCTTAATCAGCCTCATCACAAAAGTTCGTAATGTAAGCTAGTTTCTAAGATAACTAATTGCCAGTTCAATCATATCGAATCATAGTTTGACCTAAGCGATAGATCAAGTGCAGAAGTAGTTGGCCGACTGTTTAGAATCGAAGCCACTTATGAGTCAGTTAGTTCCAAATGTATTCAAAAGCGTTCATTTAAGTTCATGCAGATGCATGCACTTTCGAACTAAGATGTGTGCACAGACTCAAAAAGTAGTAATAAACAAAAAAAGGAAACTGAGCACCACTAACAACAGACAACTGCAAAAAATAAGTCAAAAGCTCTCACCTTTTTACTTTGCAGGCCGTCACAAGTTAGAATCACCTTGTACCGCATCGATACAGCATTTGAATAGCACCATAGGAAAGTACTACTCCGTAGCGTTCATTAGAATGTAAACGCTTTACGATTTTACCCACTGGAGACTTAAGAGTCATAGATAATCTTGAAAATTAAGAATTGAATAGGTGCTGCTCAGTAGTCTTTCATTTGTATGGCCTCAGTGTATAGCAGCTTAGTCCACAGGCTTCGAGTATCGTTTCACAGTATGATGAATAGCGCCATGAGAAATGGTGCGAACAGCTCTCACCAGAATTGCCAGCTTTCTTTCAAAGTGTCATTCACGACAGACGAGTGGGTTTGAATGTCGCTCTGACCGTTAGCTGGTTTGTCGTTTCTTGGTAGAATCAACGTTGACTGTAAATGATGATTTCATGTATATCTCTAGGCTCGATTTCCAGCCGCTTGAGGAAGTCCCAATCGTATTCTTCTCATAACAAGCTGAAGCTAACTTGGTGGGAGCGAAGGAAAACGGGCGTCGGCTTTCATGGTTATCGAGACTGGTTTATTTCCTGCCAGTTGTGATTTTAAAAGGTTGAGTTTGATCGTCCAGGTGAACGTAGTCCTGAATAGGACTGTTCTTGTTGACAGTGACTGACGTTTCGACAACCTGTGCGGTAGTCATCTTCAGAGTCAAAGTGAGTTGTATCACGTCAGTTGATGGTATTATACTCTGGTTATTGATCTGATTGGTCAATTATGTCGCGATGTTATTGTTCGTCTGTCACTTAAGCCGTGATGTTATGAAGGCTCGTAATCAGTGACTGGTGCGTTTCGATCCGTCTATTGTCACAGTTAAACAGTCGTCTATTGTTAGTCAAATCGTCAGTTCTCCAGTTGTTCTCTCGTAGTTAGTTCTGCTTGATCTCCTCAATAAGTCGTTTGTACGGCGCTGGTAACTGTTGGCTACGATTCAGTGGCGTTTGTTCTAAGTTAGTAAACCAGCTCTCTAAAGTAAGACGTTGATAGTAGTCTGTAGAATACGTTATACATGTCGCAGAGTCCTAGAGTTCACCAGAAGCAACAACATAATTTGGAAGAAACCGTAGTTAAACAGCTTTCAGCTTAATGATCAACACGTTTCAGCGCGAGACACGCGCAACGGGGAATGCCGCGCGCGCTCCACGTCCGCTTCGTGCTCACCTAAAAAATTCGAAAAAATAGCGCATGATTGTTGAAGGTTAGTTGCAAACTTTAGCCCACGAAAATCCTTCGTCCGATAAAGCTGCGTCTGGGTTGCCGAGGACAGCAAAGCCATAAAGTGATGATTTAGTCATAATGTTTTTTTGGAATACCGGAGTTTGCTTTCAGTTCTACACGAGAGAATAATCATGTAAAAGCAGTAGAAAATGACGAAACTTTTGTAATGAAAGAGGCAAGGATTAGAATTTAAAGTAACGATTATAATAAGTAAAAATGTCATTTGTTTTTCCCCGTTGTAAGAAATTAATCACATAATTGTTTATTTCAATTACTGTAGAAATAGCATGCTGAATGTATGTATTTAGTTATTCAATATTTAATTAATTATTGTAGTTATTATTATTATTATTATTATTATTTAATTTTATCATTATTTAATAACTATTTAATCAATTGCTGTAGTAATAGTGTGTTGGATGTATCTATTTAGCTATTTAATTAAAATCAGCGTATAAGAATTAGGCTAAACACCAGCCGATTGTTAGGCTGTTTGTAGATTATTGAAATTTTTAATTTGTAAAATGGATATAACAATGAAAAGTTGCAATAAAATACACGAAGGGAACGGTCGTTGTTTTTCCTTAACCTCTCATCTGCAATGTAAAAATTTGCGGCAGAAAACCGAGAGACATTTTGTCACTTTACTCGTATTTAATTTTGTCTTCAACAACAAAATTGAAGTGTCTCTTGGACAGCTCAGGATGCAGAAGCCCCCCAACAGAGACACCAGGGCAAGGTTACATAAGAGGGCTCTTAACTTTTGTTCTGGAACAATAACCTATTGTACGAGAACGCAACCCCTAATTTCTGGTGGGTGTTCTGTGCATTATTGGGTGCTCTGTGCAATTAATAAGCGAAGTTTTTTGAGATTGCATTTGTGTTGTGACACATTTGCCTCGCTATGAGGCGCCTGCTTACATTTTGCCTCACTTAGACGCGCTAACTCACTTGGTGATTCGTGTGCCCTCGGCGCTCATCTTTCAAACGTTTGCTCAATCTTTGTAAAGCGTACACATTGCAATAGTTTGCTGAAGGTCTCCTATTGTTCTATGTTTGCTGAATCTTCCAAAGCGTTCATCTTTCAAAAGTTTGCCGTTAATTTTACTTTGGATTAAGCCTTCAACTCACATTTTTCAGCATGGTTCGTCACTGTCTTTGCAAAATGTGTGCGACTCCTGCTGTATGCATCAAACCGGGTTGTTTGGCTCGGCGGCCGTTGTTCCACAAAGCAAATTTACCGAGTTGTGTAGCTCGGCGTTCGTTGTACTTCAAAGTAAATCTACCGAGTTGTGTAGCTCGGCGGAAATTGTGCCTGAAAGTAAATCTACCGACTTTTGTAGTTCAGCGGCCGTTGTGCCACAAAGTAAATCTACCGAGATGTGAAGCTCGACGGCGCCATTTCATGATGACTTGTGATATTTTGCGCACCGGACAAACGACATTTTAGCTTTATGTTATTTATTCGGAAAAACTCATAAACCAGCCCACAGTAACGCCATTCAAGTCACTGAAATCAACACACTCGACCAAATATGCTGGAAGAGGTATTGACGTGAGCCGCACACACATTCCACCAAAGGCTTTGATGATTCCCTTGAAACGTGTGAAATTGAGAGGCGTAGTGCGACTGAAGCAGTGTTCAAACACAATTCAGTGTTCCACAGCGCTCACCACAAAAAATGTGGTTTTGAGTATTTAATATCAACACAAGTTAAAAAGACTTGCCAGTAACGGTTTCACTTTATAGTATTTTTCGTTAATTGTCTACATGTGGAATTCCCAATAAATAAATTACTAATTAAATCTGAAACGTTGTCAACTGTTTGCCTTTTAACAATACCTGGGCTGGGTTGTTCAAAGCCGGGTTAAGATAACTCAGGGTTAGTGCGAAATTTGAATTCAGATGTGGAAGCTTAAAATGTAAATTCAGTATAATTCTTTTAGTCAACAAGTTGATGGTTGGAAGCTCTTAAAAATAACAGAGAAAATTATTGCTTCTGGTCAAGAGAGAATGAACTGTCCTGGTTGCGTTGGTATGGTTGGTATGATGGCCTGTACGGGAAGGCTCCTGCCGAAAGGGATACCTTTTTCAGGCTTTGGATATATGAAAGGGTAGGCATTTTACTCGTTGAAGTATACAAAAGAGTCGGGAAATCTGTAATTTGGGTCTGCGAAAGGGCTCAAAGGGCTAACAGATGAATTTTGTGGCTTTAAAAAGTGGAGAAAACCTTTTATTTTTGTGATTGATTCCTATCTAAACGACAGTGCATTTACAGCAGTTAAAAGGGATGCAAAGTTCTAAATGTGAAAGAAATGCCAAGTAAAATTGCGTGTCATCGGCGAAAGAGTGCACGCTTGGCAAGTGTCGACCCACTATATCGAATAGTTCGCTGGTGTATGCCGTGAACAGAAGCAGGCAAAGGCATGACCCTTGGGCACCTCTTGCGCGAGCGGAAAGTTATCTGACAGCTCTCAATTAACTGCAACACGCTGTGTACGGTCGGAGAGGTACGATGTAAACCTGTTGAGTGCCTGGTCAGTCACACGAAGTCTTGACCTCAACCGATCCAGCAAGATGTAGTGGTGTACAGTATCGAAAGCTGCCCTGTGATCTAAAAGAACCAGCAAGGTCACCTTCTGCGCATCCATATTCCATAAGATATGGTTCTTCACTTTTAAAAGCGCTGATTCAGTACTATGATGTTTGTTGTAGGCCGACTGTAGTTCAAGGTGCAGACCATTGATCGTCATATGATCAATCAATAGTCTATTTTCGAGTTCGCTATGACCGCTGAATTAAAGAAGTGAAGACGCATTTTTTACAGCCTTGGCCTCAGTCTGAAGTAATATATTCACAAACTCCAACGAGAAAAAGACCTGTTTATTACTCTGTCTATTGTGTATATTCAAATTTCGAACACTTACTTGCTAGAATTTCTGAATAGTTTACTTTACGTTGAGGCTAACCCTGTATGAATGTGTCGTTGATGTTTATATTAATTCGAAACTGGACTATTGATCAGTAGCTGCTCTTTCAGATAACTTGGAGACATACGAGAAATTGCTTACTGGACGAAAGTTTTTTTTTTCAACTCGCATAAATAAGAAAAGTCCCTCGTACACAATTCCGACTTTTCAAGATCTGAGCGAAGTGAATCAAGGTGAAAGGACTTTAACTTGCGATATGATAGCTCCTTAACAACATGACCAGGCTTAAGCGAGTTCAGAGTGCATAACATAGACGCATGATCTGAGAGATATCGGTCAGCCAAGGGAGCGCTTCAGATGACAGGATCATGCTCACGAGTAATCAATAGATCAAGTGTGTGACCACAGTTCATCAACTTGAAATCTTTTCTACTTGTGACAGTTCAACTTATAAACCCTTTCAATGCACACTTGTTTGCTTCGTACTGGAAAAAAAAAACATA